GAGAGAGAGAGAGATCCATTAGTAATTGGATGAGTTATAGAGAGAGAAGGTACCTTTGAAACTTTGGGGAGATTATAGAGGGAGAATTTCCCCTCAAGACGATATTCATGCATGACCCAATTGCTTTTCTCACCCTTTGGAGCCCTTCCTTTGTAGAAAACTAGGGTTTTTTTCATCCCAACAAGTGTAGCACTGCTGTTCTTCCCTCTGTATATCTCCTTATCTTTCCCTGTTGCTTTCCAGTACCCAGCTTCTGTCGCTCTATTTGTCCTCAAACCAGTTGGGTACTTTCTATCTCTAACACAAAAGAAATACCACTCTTTCTCTCCCATCTTTGCTCTCCCTGCAATGATATTAAAAACCCATTTTCGAATCAAAGTGACCTTCAAAATCAAATGAAGAAATAAGAACAAGTAAAGTCGCAGAGGGCTTACAGGGAAGATCCCATGGCTCACACTTGTTTAAATCTACTTCTCCTATTGCCTTTGCAGTGAAGCCGGAGTCCAGAACTTTTCTAGAGAGATAGTGGGTGATGAGTTCTTCATCAGTCGGGTGGAACCTGAAACCAGGGGGGAGATCTATGTGCTCCTCCTCCACCTTGTTCAGAACTGAGCCATCCCCCTCCATGAGAGAGAGCTTCAAACTTGCACCTCCAAAACAAGATATATTCAATTTCCTGAACCAAAGAAAGAGAAAAAGGTATATCTGATTCTCTCTCTAAACCAATTCACACGAAAGAAAGTGGATGAAACAGGGTCTTAAATGGAAAATTTTGAAGAGCTGTATCTGAAAACTTGAGCTGTTAAATTTGTATTCAAGGAGATAGAAACAAGAAGCCAAAAAAGAGATAAGCTTGGGTGTCTGTCTCTCTCTCTCTCTTTACCCCCACTCTTGCTTTTGGTTCCTCTAAAATTTGGAAGATGTTGTTAAGGAAAATTCACAAAGGCAGGGATCCCTCTTAAATACTGGTATTTGAGGAGCAGATAACGTGGGTTACAAGGCAAAAGAGGATTAAATTTCAAGCCTTTGTCAATCTTGATTTAAAAAATTCCTGCTTTTTCCCAAACCCTTCTATCTCTCTCTCTCTTCATGGTTATTTCTCTCTCTCTCTCTCTCTCATGTATCTGTGTTTGATGTGGATATAAAAGTGAGCACACCTTTTATTTTCTTTATAGATGTAAACATTGACACCACCTCCATAACTGTGCCTGGGTCGAGCTAGGCTTGATCTGGAACCCACTTTTTTGACACTAAAATCCACGCCAGACCTACCTTACCATACCACAAACACCTTTTTTTTACGTCTCTATTTGAGGGAGTTTCAGTGACTTTCATATTTGCTCTCTTCTGTTTTTGCCACTCACTCTATAGCTATCACACTAGAGAGGGCCTTATTATATTTGGGAGAAGTTCATATAGAGCCGAGCTTTTAAAAAATCTAAGTTAGTGTCAACCTCAAAAATTTTATTAGAAGAGGTTGTTTTTTATATCTAAATATTCTCAAGTCGATATCTCGACATCAAAATACATGGAAATGAGAAAAAAATAATTTTTAACAATCCATTTTGCAACGTATTTTTGGACTCTTGATTTTCAAAATTTTCAAAGTTTTCATATATCTACTTGATCTGCGTTATTTTTTAAGCTCTATATTTGATAATTGAAGATAAAAATATATTTTAAAACTAATCTCGATACTATTTGAAGGTAGGCTATAATGTGATTGTTTAGAGCCTCGACTTTATACAAACCGTTATAGGGGAACATAGAGAGAGAGGGAGTGGGAGAGAGAGCGCTATCACACTAGAGAAAGTGGGAGAGAGAGCGCTATCACACTAGAGAAAGAGAGAGAGAGAGCGTTATCACACTACACAAAAAGAGAGGGATAATGCACTAGAGAGAGAAAAAGATGCTAATACACCATCTACTCGTTGGAAATAATTTATGAGTTTTGTTTTCTTTTGTTTCACCTAGCTTTAAACAAAGCAAAACAAAAGACCAGAGCCTTAATTTTCGGAATACTACTAAAAATAATTCATTAATCAGGTGACTGCTGTATTCAGTCGGCTGCCTTCCAAAAAAAATCCCTTTACGCGTCGAGATATAGTAAATAAATATAGAAACAAGCTTAATTAACAGTAAATCTTGACCTTTGACGGCTAATCACTAACCATCCAATATTTTTATCAAATCACTTTGAATGGTCCCCGAGATTTCATTACAATACCATTTTCGAAAAGAAAAGAAGAGTTAGAAATCCTGAGGTTTAGCCAAACAGAAATGACATACAATGTGTCTACTCATAATTTCCACACAAAGTCGAATAATGCTGAAATTAAGTTAGTGAGAGGCCATGGGGAGCTTAATTTATACACCCCTTTAATGAGGCCACCAAAAAATTCAACAAAATTAGATCATGGGCATTCGGGGCGAATGGTTAAAGACATACCTTTGTGTCTCTAATGACAATTTTTGTGTTGGTGGACCATGTATCACCATTCTATAGTTTTTTCCGGGTGCCCAAATAGTAAAAAATGAGCTTGATAAAATGATTTTTGATAAATCATAATGAATATTTTAAATTTTTGTCGACACATTCTCAATCGTTAGAATTTGACTAAATGATTGTTTGTTTCTTTAAAAAAATATAAATTATGTGTGCAAAGCAGTGCTATTAGGATCGGAGGGGTCACTCAACATATGAGGACTCTATCCAGTCAAAACTAGTTCGACCACAGGTTTCACTATGCAGTCCAAATTTTAAAATATAGTGAAAATATGAGTAAGAATTAAAAAATATAAAAATCTTTTCCAATATTGTTTGGCTAGTCTAGCTGGTCAAAACTAACTAAAGCTAGTCAAACATTGGTTCTAATCGATTTTTAACCAATTTATCTTTTACTTAGGATTAAACTGCCAAGACACTAGTAGTACACGGTTTGATGTCCGGTGGCATAAGTTTGAAAATGAGACTAATTATGTTGCTAATTTCTTTTAATTATGTTGGTAATTTATTTCGGGCAAGATTTCTATGCTTCTCCTACAGCATGAAACTTATATACTTCTCCTTATCCAACCGTCCATTATGAATGGATGGCTAAGATTGCCCCAATCACAATGTCACATCTCTACACTATTTTATTTTTTATTTATTTTTTTATAAGCTATTTTGACACCAAATTTTGGATGTCCAATCCTCTATTAAACTTGCACTAGCCAAAAATATAAAAACAATATTTTCAATAAAATAAAATGATCAAAATACCTCTGAAAATTTCAAAGGGAATTTTGGCCATTATATTTTATCGAAAAATAATTTTTAATATTTTTTATAGGTGAGCCCCAATAAAAAGATGGCCCGTACCAAATTTTTTATTCATAAAATTTGTATTAAAAAAATTTAAAAGAAAATACTTTTAAGACATTGGATCTAAAATCAAACGACGACTAGCTCTTGATCAAAATTAGACGGCTGGATGGTAGGCGAAGCGTAGATCTTGTTCGCTGCAGGGTAAGTATAGAAACATTTCCCATTTCTCTTTTAGGGCGCGTACATTTGTATATTGTCCTTAAAGTGGCCGTATAGTCGAAAAGCGGAGCTTTCCCTTTCCGGAAAACCAAACAACAAATTCGATGCGGGACACGTGGTGCCAATCTGGAAGCGCGGAGAATTTCAGCCGTATCGGAAACCCCCGCTAACGGACGGTATCGATCAATCTTCCTGGTCAACGTCTGGTATTCCGCCACGTAAGCTTCCTAAAAGAGGCCGCAATGGGTTCGCCGCCAATACGATGAAAGAAACCAGTCTGTCACGTGGCGAGTTCTGAACGGTCCAATCTAACCATGGGCCTGGGTTAACTAACGCGAGGGTTGACTTATAACCATGGTATGGGATGATGTGTGAGTCGACTCGGTCCGAGTCAGGGGGAGGCGTTGTCTGTTTCCTGTAGGGCAGACAGGAAGGGGGTAAGGGGAACAGGGGCGCGTGGAGAGATGTGATTGGGTGAGGGGCCGTGAAATAAGTAGGGCCAGTTAATAAGGGGAATTGATTATTCAAAAGGTTAGGCGGGATTTGGACGGCAGTGGTTGTTGATACTTGAATTTGGATGGTCAAAACTGCTAACCACCGTTCATTCTAGTGCTCTTTTCCCAATCCTTATTCACTTACCAATTTAAACCCGCTCCTCGTGGCTGTCTAGATCTTCTTTTTCTTATACATAATTGTTGTTTTTATCATGCACAACTTTCGATTTTTTTTAGATTCGATCGTTTTTCTATATATATATTGAACAAAGTGAACAATTTTCGAATCAATCGTTTTTCTATATATATATCGAACAAAATGAACAATTTTCGAATCAATCAGATACATTGGTCCCAGCGTGTTTTAAATCATCCCGATTAATGTACTCTCTCTGTATCAACATGAAAATTATTGTAGAATTAGGGAACGTGCACCTCTCTCTCACTGTGAAAATTGTCTCACAATTAGGCGACTCTCTCTACATGAAAATTATTACACAATTAAGCAAGGTGTAACTCTCTCTATCCCCGTGATATTGTTACACAATTAGGCAAAGTGTACAACTCTCTCTCTCTCTCTGGTGTGTGTGAAAATTGTAACAGAATTGAGCGAGGTGTACACCCCTCTCTCCTTTTATTATTCTCTCTTTATGTTCTTTCCTTTTCATTGCTTTTTGTGCTGGACACTTAGACTCTCTCTCTCTTTCCCTTTCTCTCTCCTTTTTATAATGGCACATTGGGACGCTCTTTCTATCCCTTTGACTGCCATTTATATTGTAAATGTAGACTCTCTTTTACTCTCTCAATTATTAACCGATTAGACACACACTCCCTCTTTTTGGGCAATTTTATAATGGAATATCATAAAGAATGCCTTCTATCTTTCTCCTCATTATGGTGAGGTTTGTTAAAATTCTCACATTTTTGTTTTTTTTGAATGGGCCCCTTCCCCTTCCCCTTCCCCTTCTTCTCATCTGTGAAAAACCATAAAAAAAGAAAACTCTGATGCTGATAACTTAATTCCATCCCCCATGCTTGCTTGTATTCAAACTATCGATCTTTCTGAGACCACTCACCCATAGATTGTTATCATTGTTTTCAACTGTTGACTTGTACTATTCACCCTTATTGGATGCTCAAGAGAGAGAGAGAGAGAGAGATGTTTGTATTCCAATGCTTTGGCCTTATTTTAGACTTTACCCTCATTGGCCCTTCTTTGAATTAGGATTGATAACACATGTCAGCTTGATCTGGATCTAATCTCTTCCCCACCAATGCTAACCCCTTTGTATGAGCCAATCACATGACTGAAGTGACACATGTACACAAAGTCCAATGAGGTTGCAGTCCTACTTATTTGGTTGAGGTTGGTCGTCCTCTAACTACTATCCTTGTACCTTTTTTTCTGAAAAGAAAGGGACAAAAGGCTCCACAATGGACCCTTTTCCCATTATGGAGACTATGGAAAAAACCCAATTATGCATATCTATAGGGCCGACTGAGCTTTTTGGATCTAGTGTATATGGAAGTTGCATGAACAAACCTATAGCTATCTCACTTAAATTATATTTTTGAAAGTGATTCGAGAATAATATTATAAATTCGTAGTATTTATATTTATTAAAAAATTATATGACATTATTGTTAACTCACTTGATATTCAAATACATATAAATTATATGTATTAGGTTGACAATGGGCTGAGTAATGTGATTTGGCCGAATTAACAAAGCCCGGAATTACGTGGTCCCATGCCACTAAATTTGGCTAGGAGGCTAGTTTGGGGATTGAAATCATGTCTTGTCTAGCCTGCGATATTTTATTTTCCTTTCTATGAATTTAAAATACAAAAAACAAATTAATATCAACTAGATTGGCTCGGCCTGGTTTGTCCATGGTAGATATGTTCATTCATGGCCAAGGCTCATGTCAAGTGCCAAGCCCAAGAGTAGGTCCAGCCCAGCCTTCGGCACCCTATATATGTTTAATGGTGCGCTTTGTATAGAGCCGAAGTTCTAAACAATCAAAGTAAATGGTACCTTCAAATAGTATCGAGAAATGTAGTGTCAATACTGAAAATATTTATGATAGCCTTAAAATATATTTTTATCTTTAATTATAAAATTTAAAGCTTAAAAAATAGTGTAGATCGAGCATATATATGAAAACTTGAAAATCTTGAAAATTGACGATCCAAAAATACGTTACAAGATGTACTATTTTCAAAACTTGAAATCCATTTTTTTTTTTTCTCATATACATACATCTTGATATCGAGATGATCAATTTGAGGATATTTGGGTATCAAAATGACCTCTTCTAATGAAATTTTGAGGTGGAATCTAATTTGATTGTGTATAACCTCTGCTCTCTATACATTTTTCCTATTTTGCTCAAACCTACTCGGTGAATAAAAGTCATGAAGAACATAAAGGCCTTATCAAAGCTGACCCAGCTGTGTACTTGCCTTGAGTTGGAAATGCTGAAGGGCAATATTAAAGTACAAGGCCTTGGTATGAGGAAGTGTTGTCCTCTTCCACGATAAAACCCTCCCTTGAAAAGTACAAGTTCTTGATTTAAAGCCAGACAATATGCCTACGAGTGGGCTGACTTGTCTATTTATATGACCCCTCTCTCCTAAATTTATTATAGGGATGGATTTTTGGATGGGTGCGGTTTGTATAAAGCGGAAGCTCTAACAAATAAAAAAAAGTGCACCTTCAAATAGTGTCGAGAAATGTGGTTTCGGAAATCTTTGTGATATTCTTAAAATATATTTTAATTTTTAATTAAAAAAATTAAAGCTTAAAAAATAGTGTAAATCGAACATATCTATGAAAACTTGAAAATCTTGAAAATTGACGATGCACTATTTTCAAATTTTGAGATCTATTTTTTTTCTCGTGTTCACGCATCTTGATGTCGAGATGGTCAATTCGAAGAAATTTAAGCATCAAAACTACATCTTCTAGTAAAATTTTGAGGTGGGCTCTAATTTAATTGTTTAGAGCCTCGGCTTTATAAATACTTTTTCCTTTTTGGATTCAAAATTTTAGGGAATGAAAATCTCAACCACGATAAGTAAGAACCTGAAAAAAAAAAATTAAAAAAATAAAAAACACAAAATTTGACATGGTTTTAACACCTTTGGTTTAGATTTTTTGTGGGGCTACCATTATCTAACATCCATCTGAGGGGATACTATTGTAGAAGTGGGTCCCCTAACACACAAACTACTTTTCCTTCAAAGCCATATGCAGTATATTCGAATTTTGAAAGACCAACAAATGATAACTAGGAATGGTAGGTGGCATAAATAGTGAACCTTCAAAAGATTTTGTAAGATGTGGTTTGTATAATAACATGCTAGCATTTGAGTTCTGAGCGTATATAGTATGATCTTGCGGGAGCATACTAAAGCATGTTGTACTACAATCCCTCGGGCAAAAGAGATACTCCAGAGGGTTTTGTTTTACCTACAATTTTGGGATCCATCTAAATATCACCAGATGAACAGTTTTAAGGAAAATATTTGGAGTTTGAATTATTGAACACATCGATCTTACCCTCCAAAAATTGGACGGCACTTTATCAATCTCAGTATTATTATTATAATTATTTTATTTTATTTTTTATTTTTTTTAGGCACATTGAGAATGGGGAGGTGCTGCCAAATTATTTGAAATCCAAAATGTAATATAGGATAAATGCTTTTCCATGTAATATTTTGCAGCGCTTTCTACAAAGATTTACTGATTTACGACTCTTGAAGAAAGAGCATAGAAATTATATGCTTTGGAGATAGCATTTATTTACAATACTCTATAGAAGCACATAAAGTCTTACAAAAAGTGGATATCATTTAATAAGAAGAGGGAGATGGAAAAAGTCATGAAGTAGAATATGCTCCAATTTGAATATATCCAAAGTGTTTGGCTATTTCAAACAAAGACCAGGAATTCATCATGTGTTAAAGAAATAAGAGTTTTAAAGAAGAACCAAAAAGAAAGACAAATTGCATACTATAAAGAGCATGTTAGGTTGCACTTAGAGAATAATGAAAAAGGTTCAATACGTTTGGGGTGATAGACGAGAATGTGGAGGCTAAAGGCATGTTGGTGCATTTTTCCAATGGAAAAAATATTATATGCTCTGCCGGCGTAGATTGTAAACTTACTGTCCTAGTGAAAAACTTGCTCGGGGGGATTTGATTCGGGGTGGCAATCGGACCCGATCCGAGTTTGGGACTTGGTCCAAGTTTTGGACTTGGTGAGTTGGGTCTGGGTCCAAAAACTTCAACCGGTTGGATCCGGCTTTGGTCTAGGTCCACGTTGACCCAACCTGAATAGATGGACACACAAACACACATATTTATATATTTATTTATTGCTGGCACATCCCTATTTGTTGGATTTTACATCCGACGGTTGGAGGTAATTGTGATCTCCTTTTACCAAAAGATAGGCAGTAAAATAGCTTACAATCCTTCTTGTATGCCGACTGATTTAAATCGAATTTATAGATGGAGATCTCGCCCAAAAGAAATGGTTCAATTTAAGGGTGCCATATATAAGGATGCAATATTAAATAAATACCATAAGAAAGTTTGTCAAGAGAGAGAAATATTTAATTCATGAGAATTCACACTCTTTTGATTATGAATTCTATAATGCATCACGCGATGCACATTCTTCATCAAGATCCCTATCACAAATACACCAAGGAATTGTGTTCTTTTTCAGCCTTATATTTTGGGGTAGGTGGACTTCTGTTATGCTTAGCCTAAAATAATCTCTCTCTCTCTCTCTCTCTCTCTCTCTAGGTTTTTTTTAGTAGGAGAATTTGGATTGGAGAACTATACTATAGTATAGTGTAGCAGCCTTTGGACCCTAACTTCTAAGCCAGGAGGCTGAGCCCCAACCACAAAATCTCACTCTCAACAGCCTTCTATCAAACTCAAATACTGTAAAACCAAAGGCTAAAAAACAAAAGAGGGGATGAATTAAGTAACAAAAGCCAAAACTCATGATAGAAAGCAATGGGAGAAATTTTTATAACAATTATATTTTGAAAGGAAAACCACCATGACGTACCCCTTGTCTAAAATGTCTTTAGCCATCCATATCTAGATTTAGTATTGTGGCCCATGCCCACATGATCCTAACTAAAAAGGCCCCATCTAGTTCATTATTTTTCGAACAGTGGATCACCCATCTTGAAGGCCATTTTTGACTTTTTTCTTACTAGAATGGAAAATAGCTGGCATAAGGATTGGATGATGATACATGATGATGGTATAAAGGTAATTAATATACAATCATTTGTAATATTTATTTTTTATATAAGTGGGTAATAGTCACTCTAGCTCTCAGATGCAAGATTAGGTAGCTGAGGATGTGTTATTTTTCTGTGCAAAGTTAAAGATAATTTTTTTTAGACTTTGAGCACCATCGATGACATGCTCATAGTAGTTGTGCAGTTTCATATCTAATGGCTAGAAGTGATTGTGATATCTTGATACAAAACAGTTTCACATCTACTAGCTAGAAGTGATTGTGATATCTTGATACAAAAAGCAAACAATCGTCTAGTAAACCTTTCCTTTTATGCAGAGGTCTTGCTAAAATTTTAAGAGAGTAGGAACATTTTTGTGTTTGTGCCCAAGAAATGTGGCTTTTCATATAATGCATCTTGGGCTTCATTGGTAAGTTATTAATGATTGCATCCAAGTTCGATTCCAAAAAAAATAAAAAGAAGGGTTCCTGATATTTTCACATGATACCCATGGCTTGAATAATGCGATCCGCATTGCCATGATAACTTCATGACCTCGCGATTATCACTGTCTTATCAATGGATTGGATGGTGATGCAGGGAGTGGTCCCGCCTGTGATATAAATTAAAAACTTGAGCACAACCACAATCTCTCCAACATGGTCCAGCCAATTGATGAGACTGTAAAAGGCAAATAGGTCAAGGCTGTTACAGTCCATGCAATATGTTTACTTATAACCAATAACAAAACATGCTTAGGGAAAAAATAATATTGCCATCCCATATGCCTAGAACCACATAAAGAGTGTGGCATGGTGCTAGCTGGGTCATTCACTTTCCCCCTCTTCCCAACTTTTCTTATAAACTCTAAATCATAATGATCCTTCACCAGCTAGAAAATCAAACCATTCATTTTGTTGGTGCTTCCCCTACAGGACACACATTTCCTAGGCATTTCTTGTGATCAAGAGGCAAAAATCCCTTGGGTTTTTTCCAATGGAGAATTTGAACCATATCTCCTCGACTTCAACAGGGTTTAGCTTGGGATTAGCATTGGTTTGTGTGTTTTTGTCATGGATTTTGGTCCATAGATGGGGCCAAAGGAACTCCAAGGGACCCAAGACATGGCCCGTCGTTGGATCCGCGATCGAACAGCTCATGAACTATGATAGGATGCATGATTGGCTTGTGGAGTATCTGTCTAAGGAAAGGACTGTTGTTGTGAGAATGCCTTTTGCTTCCTATACTTACATTGCTGACCCTGTTAATGTGGAGTATGTTCTCAAGACAAACTTCCCTAATTACCCAAAGGTAAGAGGAGAATTCGAAACTGGAAAAGCTTTTACACTTTCATCCTTTTGCTTTTTGGATTAAGAAACTCCATGCATTAATAATAGCGAAAATAAAGTTATATAGGTGTTCTCTCATGGCAATTGTTCTCTTTTTTCCATCTTATGAGACCTCTAAAATTTGGCTAACTTGTCTTTACATATATTTATTAATTTCAGTCTCAGGAAATTCTAGGAGATAATATATCTGGAGGATTTCAAGAGTTGTTCCTTTTTCAAGCAGACTGCCCGGGATATTTATCGAAAATGGAAAAGGAAGAAAATATACAAAATGGAAAAAATGCAAAAATCAAGAAAAAAAGAAACGAGACAAGCTTTTCTCTCAATATACTTTTTTTACTTCGAAGTCTCCTCAAACTTGCATTTATTTTGCTTTATTTTATTACAACCTAGATCTTCTTTAAGTTCAGGAGTTATATTTTTTATAAATTAAATTTTATGCATAAATTCAGGATTTGGGCTTGGACATATGGTTAAGGTGTTGAGAACTGCAGCACTACATGCCAATTTCGAAACCCCTGAAATAATAGAAATATCCATAGTTCAACATTTTCCAACAAAATCATAACAAAATTAGGTTAATGAGAGCATATCTTTCTTTCATTTCTCCCCCAAATGAAGAGTTCTGTAAAGAAAAAAAGTTCATGAATTATGGCACAGGGTGAAGTGTACCATTCATATATGGAAGTGCTTCTTGGAGATGGAATATTCAATGCAGATGGGGAGACATGGAAGCAGCAAAGAAAGACAGCAAGCTTCGAGTTTGCATCCAAAAATCTTAGGGACTTCAGCACTGTTGTGTTCAGAGACTATGCCCTCAAGCTCTCCAATATCCTATCTCAGGCTTCCTATTGCGGCCATGAAGTGGACATTCAGGTCACTATCAAATTTCCAAGTCCAAAACCTGATCCTCTCTTGTGTGCGTGAGTGCTTGCACTCGTTTGTGTTTTTATGTGTGTATACTTATTTCAAACTTTTTTTAAACATATTTAATTGTCAAAATAAAAGTTCACCCTGTCACTACCCGTATTTGCACAAATTCTTCATGCGCATGCACATGCATGCATGCGCAAGGCACATGTGTCCGCACACACACATGAAGCTATGTAAATGGACACGCATATCCATAGTTTTTGCGTGCATCAACATAACAAGGATGTGACACTTGTATTTGACACTTTAGCTTAGAAATTAGCAACAATTCTTCTTGAAATCATGTTGTAAAAGTACTAAATTTCAACTCGAATCCCACCTCCGTTTTTTGAATATTATGCGGACACACCACATATGAATGGCCATTTTTGATATTTTTGACACTTGCAGCCATATTAGACACTAACACACATATTTGTGTCAATGTAAACCGGATGGCTGGGGGGCATCTTATCTTTGCACAAAGTTTGAGGAAATTTTTTTCAGACCTGAGCATGGTCAATTGTACACCCTCAGAGGTTTAATTTCACTGCTGATGGTTGGGGTGATTCTAAACTTTTTGAAACAAAAATAACAATCTTATTATATACTTCCCCAATTTCAAACGTTTTTGCAGTTACGAACAGAGCTCTTAATTTTCTATTTCAATTTTCTACTATGAAAACCAATTTGCTTCAATTTTCGAATTTTACTAAATGTGTTATTTTGAAGAAGACATACTATGGCAATTGATCTCCAAACATGAGATTTATACGTAAGGAGGCTAATGAAAAGGAGTTCTCAAATCATCCAAAGACATCTATATGGATGTAACAGTACTGTCTTTTAGCAATTGATCTCCAAATATAAGATACATAAGTGGAAGAAACTGAAACGAAGTTATGAAATTATATAAGTACATTGACTGAATGTAATATTATTTAGTGTGTCACTTTGAGAATGTATCCAAGTTATGAAATTATATAAGTACATTGACTGGATGTAATATTATTTAGTGTGTCACTTTGAGAATGTATCCAAGTTATGAAATTATATAAGTACATTGACTGGATGTAATATTATTTAGTGTGTCGCTTTGAGAATGTATCCAAATTCACAAACCCAAAGTGCCCTCTGGAAAACCCTAAAAATTTCCCTCACCTTTGGTACACTGAATATTAATGAGAAAGAGGTGGTTTTAGAATGAGTTGCTTTAAAATTGTGAATTATTGATAATTTTTTATTGCAGGAGCTACTGATGAGAATGACTTTAGATTCCATCTGCAAGGTGGGTTTTGGGGTTGAGATAGGGACCCTCTCCATTGATCTCCCTGAAAATAGCTTTGCACGAGCTTTTGACACAGCAAACATCATCGTCACCCTCCGTTTCATTGATCCATTGTGGAGGATCAAACGATTCTTGCACGTAGGATCGGAGGCACTCCTTAAACAGAGCATTCAGCAGATTGATGATTTCACATATTCGGTCATTTCCAAGAGAAAATTCGAGATCAAAGAAGCTTGTATATCTGGCAACATGAACGTAATGATATTCTTATGGACTATAAACATGTTTTTGTTTAATGCTTTGGATTAAATGTCAATATGGGTCTCCAGTTTCCTATAAGTTATACATGTGTAAAGGCACATGGAAAAGTTTCCACACTTCCAATAGCTTGAACTAATTTTTTCTGAACAAATGGTAATGCAGATCAAGCATGATATATTGTCAAGGTTCATCAAGTTGAGTGAAGATCCAAATAGCAATCTAAATGACAAAAATCTCCGAGACATTGTCCTCAATTTTGTGATAGCTGGGCGTGACACAACAGCAACAACTCTTTCATGGTTCATCTACTTGATGATCACTCACCCTCATGTATCCCAAAGGCTCTACTTAGAGCTCAAAGCCTTCGAAGAGGAGAGAGCGAAGGAAGAACACGTGCCACTGGTCCAATATGATCTCCAAGATATCCAATCCTTCAATGAGAGAGTGTCTCAATTCTCCAGCCTTATGAATTATGACTCCTTGGGGAGGTTATCTTATTTATATGCAGCCATAACTGAGACACTTCGCCTCTATCCGGCTGTTCCTCAGGTAATTGGAAATAATCAATTTAGTGTATCCAATCACTCTCAAATTCCATTCTTGGTTTCTTCACATTAGAGTAGTATGTATGACAATCTTTACAATACTACCACAAGTTAAGAATAATTGTAATATTGTTAATTGGAGATACTGCTCCTCCATGAAATCTACGGCCATAATGGGGACCATGTTTAATAATGGTTTTCGAGATAATTGTTTCTTAGATCTCTTAGATTTAAGATCATGTACTCAAACCCAATTCCAAGTTTGGGAATAAAATAGAGAAACACATACATAGTCTATTCCAAATTCCAAGTTTGGAAGAAAAACAGAGAGGCATACAATCTATCTTGAATACCAAATTGATGGTTTCCTCAAGAGAGTGCTTTACATGCATGCACACTATTACCTTGATGGGACTAATTTCCTTAATATCCAAGATTACCTTACAAGCCATCTCAATTTTGCATTGGAATTTCATCTTCATTTCTTATAAATAATCTTTAAAAACACAAAATTTATCATGAGATATAAACATGTTAGGATTATTGCTCACAAGCTTGATTTATGTATGAGTAGGATCCAAAGGGAGTACTAGAAGATGATATTTTACCTGATGGAACACATGTAAAAGCTGGTGGGATGGTTACTTATGTGCCTTACTCCATGGGAAGAATGGAGTACCTATGGGGCCCTGATGCCAAGGATTTTAAGCCTGAGAGATGGTTTAAAAATGGGGTGCTTCAACATGTTTCTCCTTTCAAATTCACAGTTTTCCAAGTATGCTGCTCTACTATCCACTATTCATTATAAACCTTTTTATTTGCCCCTTTTCATCAACCAAATCCCTTTGAGTTGTTTGTTACTAGTAGTTGGATATATTTGTTTTCTTAGCAACTTGGTTTTCATCACTACTAGGGGAATTTTTCATTGTCTTCAATGCTTCAACTCCTGGACATTTCAATTGGACACATTGTCATGAAAATAGCCCCAGTGATTTGATGTTGATAAATGAGACAGCCATGTTAGTAAACACTGATCCGACTCGAAATCATCAAAGTTAGATTAAAAGATGCCGATCTGACTTGTAATCTCCAAAGACAGATTGTGATTGGGAGCAGGCGATGGTTCGAGGGAACCTAGAATAACCCTGATTTTTGTTATTATTTATTTCTATTTTAAATTTATTGGTTATCCATGCACCCCAAATTGGCCTATGTGAATTAGGTCTTCGAGGGACCAAGTGAGACCCCCATTCCTATTTTTAAATCATTATGAAAGTATACAAAAGAGGCCGTTTACCTTTGGTACAAAAAGGTCAAAATGACCCCTTAGAATCGCAGCGGGGGTGGGTTGCCATTTCCTGTACTTTTGAGAAAATCTTCCATAAAAGCAATTAAATGTATATTCAAGTAGTTGGAGTAGGTCATTTCTCCACACAGTCTGAGTAAAATTTTAACAAATTTGCACTAAGGTTAATGGTACATCCCAAGCCACCGAGTTTCACATCTTACAATTATATGCACTAATAGCATTTTCATCCCAACGATAATTTTGTTTATTTTTCTTTTTTGGATTCAGGCTGGTCCAAGGATATGCTTGGGAAAGGATTCAGCATACCTACAAATGAAGATGACATTAGCCATCCTATGCAGATTCTTCACCTTCTCTCTTGTTCCCAACCACCCTGTTAAGTATAGGATGATGACCATTTTATCCATGGCCCATGGCTTGAAGATCAATCTCTCTAGACGCCTTTGAATTATATACTAAGTCTCAAAATTCAAAGAAGAAATTTAGACACTCTGTTCTTTTTTTTCTTCCCTCTATTTCTTCCTTTTTTAAAATTTGGGCACAAAGTAAATTACTATTCCAAGACTCATGTATTAACATGGCATTTCGTAAAAAAGTATGTGTATCCAATAAATTGTTAGTGTGTTTTCACAATTGCACTTTCTATCTTTTCTTTTTGGATCTCAGTCCATTATTCATGCTGAGAAAACTTTATTTTTAAGAGAGAGATAGAGAGAGAAGTGTACCCAAGATATAAGTGAGAGAAAGAATTATATCCCATAAAATAAGGAAAATAGCAAGAGAGAGAGCAGTGTTATCAGGATAGGACCGGTGCCCGAACCGGCAAAGGAACTGGTACACTTAAAATCGGTCCGACCAGTAGGACTTTTTTATATGTATAAATAATTAAAAAATGTTTATATTTAACAATTTAATTAAAAATAAAAAATAGTAGGTAACACCAATGAAAACTCAATAAAAAAATAAGAGATTTTTTAAAAAAAAATTAGTAAAAATATCCAACTTGTTAAAAAAAAAATTGAACGGTAAGATTTTTTTATATGTATAAATAATGAAAACATCTTTATATTTAACAATTTAATTAAAAATAAAAAATATTAGGTAACACCATTGAAAACTCAATAAAAAATAAGAGATTTTTTCAAAAAAATTAGTAAAAATATCCAACTTATTAAAAAAAAATTGAAGGATTTTAAAATTTAGTCCATGATACTTATACCAAAATTAATAAAACCTATGACACTTGTTCATAAAGTTGAAGTGCGTCAATGTAGAAGAACCAGGCGTACCTTTGTCCCTGTTACAGAGAGAGAGTTACGAGTGGAATAGAGGGACAGAAATTTTTAATAGAACTAAAAAGGGCAGCAAAAAAGTGAACAATGCATACCAAAAGTAAGAAAATTTTCATTTTAACCAGATGATTTTGGGAAAAATCTTAGGGTTCTTTTGGATTAAAGATTTTGTGAATAAAATATCATGTGTACTCAAAATAAAAAATATAGAAAAAAAGACCCAGTTTCTATGAGACCAGACCAGGGCCGTATATGTAGAAATGTGGGCTTCTCAATAAATCTATTTTGAAGATGAATTTTAAGTCTTAAATTTTAAAGACATGTAATCTCTAATAAGGAGATTATGAACATAATAAATAAATAAATTTTAAAAATTAAAAATAATAATTCTAATAAAAAAATATTTAAACCCTTAGTTTTCATTGGTTTTAGATGAAACACCAATTTGCATCCATCTTTAAAATATATACTTTACATTTTTGGACTATATACTTAGAAATGCAGTCTAGGCCGCATCAAACAATTTTTTAAAAAAAATGAAAAAATCAAACTAAAAAATAGAGCAGTGGGAACAGATTGGACCGGTTCGGCCATGAAAACCAACGAAACTAGTGATCATATCGATTCACCCGGTTAATAATGAAAGTAGAGAGAGAATTATGTCCAAGAAATAATGAAACGCAAAGGGAAATTTTGCAACCCCATAGATGATCATATCAGAGAGGGAGAGAGAGATAGAGAGAGAAAGGGATAGAGAGACAGAGAGCCCGACAGAAGCATATGAGAAAGAGAGCCAAACACAATCATAGAGAGCGGAGAGAGAATAATATCCAAGAAATAGGAAAAAGCTATGAAAGACAAACTTACCCATCTCTCTTCAATTCGTTAACGTATATACATGCATTGGCATTGCGGAAAATCTCTCTCTCTCTCTCCATAAAAATGGCGAGGATTTGGTTGGATTCAAAGTAGTTATCGATCCTTTGGCCCTGATCATTCGCGAGAAAAATCTCCTCCTACACGATTGATGATTAGAAAAACCAAGAAAAACGCGAACTCAAATCGTCCTGTATACTCTCTATGGCGAAGATGTACAAGCCTCAAGGCTTTGAAACAAATCCATGGATTCATGGTCATCAACGGCTTCAATTCCAACCCCTCAGCTCTCAGAGAGCTCATTTTCCATTGCGCAATCACCGTTTCAGGTGCCATGGATTACGCCCACAAGCTTTTCCGCCAAATTTTGGAGCCCGACTCCTTCGTTTTCAACACCATGATAAGAGGCTCCTCTCAGAGCTCCACCCCATCTGATGCTTTCACTCTCTACACTCAAATGGAGAGTACCCATATCAGGCCTGACAAATTTACCTTCCCCTTCTTGCTCAAAGCTTGTTCAAGGCTCTCCTCCGCTTTCATGGGTAATCAATTTCATACCCAAATTTCAAAACTTGGGTTCGAATCTGATATGTTTGTCAGGAACACTCTAATCCATCTCCATGCCACTTGTGGGAGCTTGGAAGTTGCAGAGAAGTTATTCGATGAATCAGGGAAGAGAGATGTAGTGGCCTGGTCTGCTCTTTTAGCTGGCCATTCAAGAAGAGGAAGCATTGTTTTTGCAAGAAATTTGTTCGATGAAATGCCCAACAAAGATTTGGTTGCTTGGAATGTGATGCTCACTGCTTATACAAAGTGTGGAGACATGGAATCGGCTCGTCGGTTGTTTGACAAGATCGAAGAGAGAGATGTGGTGTCTTGGAATGCCATGATATCAGGATATGTGCTGGCTGGTTCTCACGTCAATGCTTTAGAATTATTTGAAGAGATGCTAAAAGAAGGTGAAACCCCTGATGATGTGACCATGTTGAGCTTGCTCTCTTCATGTGCTCATTCGGGGGCATTGGATATTGGCAGGAAGATTCACTCTCTCTTGACCAACAATTGTTCTAGAGACATAACCGTGGTTCTGGGCAACGCGCTCGTAGATATGTACGCAAAGTGTGGGAGCATAGAGAGCGCTATGCACGTGTTTAGAGAGATGAGAGATAGAGATGTCTCTTCGTGGAATTCGGTGATTGGGGGATTGGCTTTTCATGGATATGGCAAAGAAGCCATTTCTATGTTCTCTGAGATGCAAGGAGGGGACGTGAGGCCAAATGAGATCACATTTGTTGGGGTTTTGGTGGCTTGTAGCCATGTTGGGATGGTCGATGAAGGGCAGAAATACTTTGAATTGATGAGAGAGAAATATGGGATTGAGCACAATATTAAGCACTACGGATGCATGGTCGATATGCTCGGGCGAGCTGGTTTGCTGAAAGAGGCCTTTGGCTTTGTTGAAGGGATGCCAATGGAGACCAATGCGATAGTGTGGAGAACTTTACTTGGGGCTTGTAGGATTCATGGGAATGTTGAATTGGCTGAGGTAGCTACTAAGAGGCTGCTTGAATTGAGGCCTGATCAGAGTGGGGACTACGTATTGTTATCAAATGTGTATGCATCTATTGGTGAATGGGGTGGTGCTGAGAATGTGAGGAGATTGATGGGAGATAGGGGAGTGAAGAAGGAGCCCGGATGTAGCTCCATCGAAATGGATAGTGAGCTCATCCATTTCTTGTTTGATTCAAACCCATCTCAAACTTGAACTTGTAAGTCATTTTATTGAAAGGAAATGGTGTATTGTAGCATCATTAATATGACACGAATGGAACCAAATAGGGAAAATTGTTAAAGCATGATCCAAACTATGGCTTGTTGGATCATCACTGTTCAATGAAATGATGGATGAAGATGGAGAGAGAAAACCGCCATTGGGGTGATTACACCATTCTGATGGATCCCACTCTCTCTTAATCATTTTTATTAAAAGGACGGTGATGGCCCGATTGACTACAGTTGCTTCGCAGTCCATTGGCTTAGAGTATACTTTCACCTTTGAGAAGATAAAAATGGAGACCTTATGGCAGCACTGGACTCTGCTCTTATAGATATTTGGTTGATCATATGGTTATTCAAGTCCAATATATTTGAAAACTCTGGGTATTAGCCAAGAGACTTGAGCTCTTAAATAGAATCCCCCTTCCTAAGAGGTCCTTGAAAATTCAATAGCTCTATGTATATAGATAAAAATCAAATGCCCCTCACCATAATAATAGGCCTAAGGTGTTGATGCTACTTGTTTTTCAAAATATGAGTACCTTAACTGCCTCTCAAAAATAATCATATATGTGAAAGCATAGAGGGAATCACAAAAGGTGGTGCCAAAATAACACTCACAAATGAAGGGGGTGACATGCTTGGATTCTTTAGTCTTTCTCCAACTAGGGTTCGCAGGCTAACCAGATTCATTATTGTCTCTTCTTCTCATTCATTTGCCACCACCCATTTCCCTCTAACATCCACTACAACCACCTCCAAATCAAGAGAAGAAACACTTCTCTCTCTCTTAAACTCATGCTTCTGCATGAGAGATTTGCACCAGCTCCATGCCCAAATAATACAAACTGGTTTCGATCAAAATGTGTTCATTATGAGCAAGATCCTCACTTTCTGTGCTATTTCAGTGCAAGGATCGGTGGACTATGCTTTGCTGGTCTTCCACCAAACGAAGCACCCTGATGGGTTCATGTGGAACACCATGATTAGAGGCTTGGGACGATTCGGCAATTCATTTGAAGCCTTCAGATTCTATCAGAAGATGCGGCAAAAAGGCGAGGCCATTGACAATTTCACCATGTCTTTCTTGCTCAAGATATGCGCTCAAGACTCTGTTCTAGAATTGGGCAAGCAAGTCCATTGCACATCGATAAAGCACGGACTGGACTCTCATGTCTTTGTACTCAATACTCTCATCCACATGTATGCAATGTGCAGAGATATTCAGAGTGCAAACCAACTGTTCAAGGACATGCCCATCCAGGATTTAGTGTCATGGAACACCATAATCGATGGCTATGTCCAGTGTGGGCAATCAAAAGAAGCATTGAGAATGTTCATAAGGATGCAAGGAATTGGGGTGGAGCCGGATGAAGCCACAATAGTGACCATCCTCTCGGCTTGTGCAAACATTGGTGCTCTCGAGTTTGGTAGATGGGTTCATTATTATTCTCAAGAAACAGGTCTCAACGGTGTCGTATCAGTCTGCAACTCTCTCATAGATATGTATGGGAAATGCGGAGGCATCGAGCACGCACGCAAAATATTTGATAACATGCCTTGTAGAAACATAGTGACATGGAATGCCATGATCATGGGCTTAGCCATGCATGGCCATGCCTTGGACGCATTAAAGGTCTTCGATATGATGCAAAGATTGGGAAGAGAGAAACCAAATGACGTAACTTTTCTCGGGGTTTTATGCGCTTGTAGCCATGGTGGCCTCATCGATTTAGGGAGACAGAATTTTGAGAAAATGGAGAGAGCAAGCGGGGTTAAGCCCGGGATAAAGCATTACGGGTGCATGGTCGATTTGCTGGGCCGAGCAGGGTTCGTAGAAGAAGCTTATGAGCTCATAGAGAGAATGCCTATTGAGTGCAATGCAGTGGTTTGGAGAGCATTGCTTGGTGCTTGCAGGGTACATGGAAAGATGGAGCTTGGTGAGGTGGTTAGAAAGAGGCTCATGGAGATAGAGCCAGAGCACAGTGGGGATTATGTCCTCCTTGCTAATTTGTATGCAAGTTTGGGTCGATGGGATGATGCTGTGGAGGTAAGGAGGGAGATGAGGGATCGAGGGGTTCGTAAAGTCAAGCCTGGTAATAGCTTGATCGACATGGATGTTGAGCCCGGTAATAGCTTGATCATCATGGATGTTGATTCTGGTAATAGCTTGATCAACATGGATCCCACAGCTGATTCTGGTAATAGCTTGATCAACATGGATCCCCCAGCTTGATCGACATGGATCCCTGCGATGTGCCGTGGTGAATGTAGTGACTCTCTCTCTCACTAGCTTGGAAATGAGAGAAGCGCAATTAGTTGTTACATTTTAAAATAAACTGAAATGATTTTTGAGAAAAGCCTCTTGTAATAGCTTTCTTTATGTTAATGAGCGGTTGGGCTTCTTGAAGAGAAATCTCTGTGCTAACTTTCGTTGAACACCAGAAATGGATCTTTCTTTTGGGTACATCAGTTGGGGAGAAGGTACGCTACCTGTATTTTTCATTGATAGATAAAATAGAAAAAACTACAATCCTATCAAGATACAACCCTTTCATGGGTGAATCTTATAAGGATAGCTCCCAAAATCACCATCAGATTAGCAATGAGGACAGATCATATCCAATAATTAGCTTGT